CGCCGGAATCCCGTCTTGGCTTTATTTCCGTTTAGCAGCGTACCTGCGGCTAGACGGCTTCGCTTGGGTCCCTTTTTCGATTTAAAAACTGATCTCGGGGGGAAGAGGAACGAAAAATGGGATTGCAGGTCACGTTAAAAGCTTACATAGAAAGCATTCTTTGCATTGCTATTTATGTAAAGGAAAACATCTGTTTTACAGCGGTTATTTGGGTGGCTGACAGCAATGCAAGGAAACATCAGAATGGGAGCTCATCCTTTGTATTTTTCCCCTCTGTTGAACAAGGTCCCTTGGAAGAGGTGGTATGTGATTAAACACAAGCTTATGCTCTCTATATAAATACCTAAATATGCATACATATAAATATATGCACATGTGTGTATATAAAACCAAATTTGATAAACGTGCTGTTTTATATATATAGAAATATACAAAAAAAAAATGGGTTTTATACATCAGCTTTTATGATAGCCAGCATCTATACCTCATCACTTCTAATTTGTCAGCATTTGGCTTTTGAATCCTAAATAGCTTTTACCTGCGCTGGTGACATACCCACCCGTTCCTGCGTCTCAGAAGGTGCTGGGGGGGGTGATCCTTCGGGGTTCACCCCCCGTTTTAGCACCTGCAGCTGCAGCAAGCGCCCACCCGTCTGCATCAGCAGGGAGGGTTCAGGCTGGGGGGTGTCTTTTTTATTCTTGATATTTATTGCAAGGTATCAGCGGCTGCCTGCCAGCCTGCTGGTGGCAGGGTGGTTGGACTCCTGTTGTACTCCTGCTGTGTCGCGGAGCCGCCGCGGGCTGTAGCTGCGTGGCCTGTCCCGGTGGAACGATGGCACCTGGTGGGATGGCATCCATGGGACGGTGGCATCCGACAGGATGATGGCACCCGGTGGGACAGCACAGGGCACGCTGCCTACAGCCAAGGGCTGTGTTGGGGAGGGGAGAGCGGAGCTGCCCGTTTTCACTCCTTCTCCCGTGCTCTTTCGTTCCAGCAGCTTCGCAGCCGTGGTGGGTTTTGGTAGCGTCAGTGCGGGGCTCTTCTTCATGTGCCACTGTCTGACCATTTCCCTTCAATGCGAGTAATCCTGACCTAGTTCCATGTTACAACACAGGAAAGCCTGCATGGCGTTTCTTGCATAAAGAAAAACTACTCCTCTAACCTAAGCCTTTTTTCTTCCTCCCCCCGACCCCCAGACATTTCAAAGGCCGATCGCAAAGCCTGGGGATGTGGACGAGGCTTTGGAAGCTGTATGGGAGTTGGGGGCTCTTGTAATGGAAAACATTCAGGAAGGAGGGGGTCATTTACAGTAGCCCTTGTATATTGTTTCCAAACATTTCATCCAAATCTTGTGTAAATACCCTGTGATTGTACCGCTGGCCCCGTCAGCGTAAAGCCGGCCGGCGTGTCGGTGCGCACGGCTCGGCCGTTGCGTAGAGCTCGCGGCGCAGAGCTGAGCCCGGGCAGCCACGGTTTGCTCCCCGTTGAAGCAGACTGCAGGCCCTTCGTTACTGTGGCGAGTGACGAGCTCGGGAAGGGTGACAAGCGCGTCACTTGAGGGAGTCCCCAACATACCCACCTCACCCTCTGTCCCTCTGCCGGGGGAGGGTTTGTCGTTCAGCGTATTCCAGCCGATTGCGCTTGCTGGTCAGCTGCCTGGGAGTGTTTTTCCCAAGCTGTGATGGAAGACAGCTGGGTCTTCCTTCGATCACGCCGTAGCCAGGGTTTTGTTGAACATAGCGGTGTTTGGTTTCCTTGGAACGTTTCCTGTTCATCCAGTTGGAGATAAGTCCTGGGTCAAGTGTGGAAAAGTAAACTTCCATTTGCAGGCTGAAATTCAGCAAACCCCCTACTGCAGGCAGGGAAAAAGAACATTCTGTAACGTGATTCGGCTGCCCTTGCAAGGTAAGGTTACTGTTATTTTTTTTTGGTGATTTTTTTTAACATAGATATTTCTTGGTTTAGACTACAAAATGATTTATTGTGATGACAAGAAGAGGGAAGGGTCTAAAGTCTATTTGTAATTCCAGATTCTTCCGCTCTGCAGAACAGAATTACTACAGCCATCTACTCAGCAGGAGTTTATAAGCGGCTCCAAATCTGGTCCAGCCTTTCTTACACTCTTCCCTACTGAGGGTACAAGCTTTCTAGACTGAAACGTATTTTATTAATACATCATTGTCTGGGATGCACTGCACAACCAAGGCCTGTACAAAAAAAACAGAGGTCCACCATAACATGGAAAATACACCAACGGTGTGTTCCATGACTTAGACCTCAGCATTTACACTACTTTATAATAAAAGACTGTAAAAAAGCTAAGTATTGCAGAAAAAAAAACCCAAACACAACTGGGTAGGGGTTTCTAGGGCTTTTCCTGTAAATAATTTGTATTTGAAAAAGTTTAAATATATCCAGAAACTTCGGGCATCTCCACATCTCGTGTCTCTCTCGTCTCCCCCTCTGCAGCCACACGTCATTCCGTCTATCGTGTGGCAGCAGAATGAACGCGCATCCTATTGCCTGTCATATTTTTAAGATTTTAATTGGGTGCAGGTCATAGGATTCACCTTAACATTTTAGCATCTAACAGCTGATTTGGGAGTTTAATCTCTAGTATTTAGTGCCCAACATTTCACTTGTTTTTACAATAATCTTGGCTTCCTTTCCTCTCCCCTCTGCGCATTACCTCTAGGCAGCGAGCCCCTTCAGATGAGGATGCACTGTATGAGGATCAGTTAGAAACAGAGACTGTGAGTTGTTCAAGCACTTCAAATCTTCCAGTTCTCCAAAACATTTTCCCAGCCCTTTTGTAACAGCGCCCAATCACTTTCCGCTTTTCCCTCTCCAAAGACAAAAGCTGGATCTAGTCATCTCGGATGCATATCATAACTTTTTTTTATTTCATATATACATTCTTAACAAAGCATCAAGCCAAACGCTTTCGTTTCCCCACATCCCAGTGAGCTGCGAGTACAAATCAACTGTTATAAGGTCACCACTAAGTTCCAAATCCACCCAAACAGATAAGCGCATTAGAGGGCTTTACTCTTAAAAGTACAAAATTCTTTTTAATTACACTACGCGCTCCCCCTGCTCCGAAGCATTAATCACACCTATGTACACTTCGCCCGTTTAACACCTACGCGACGAGATGGAAATGAGCCCGTTCAGCCATTTCGATGAAGTTCAGCTCCTTCCAACGCACGAAGCCAGGTCACGGGGCCCTTTCCTTGTGCTGCCGGTGGCCCCGAGCAGCGTGGAACTGGGTAAGGAGAACGTCATCAGTAAACCACGTCGATTACCCAAAGACTAAATACGAAGTATTACTTCCCAAGTTACAAAAATACACAACTTCTGATGAAATCTGCTAGTTAATATACATTTACTCCAGAATATGAATACAAATAACCTTTATTAAAAAAAAAAAGAAGCTAATAATACAATAGGCATGTCTGAGACCTAGAATTGTGTTAAAACCACTACGGTGTACTGTAGGCATCATTTAGGAGCTATACAAATCAGTATTTCTAAAAGGTAATATCACTATTCTGCAGCATAGAAGTTGTAATTACGCGAGTTAAGTTCTATGTCACGGTTTGTTAATTCAAGTTGAGCCACTTACACCGAAGAAAAAGACCAGAAACGTTATGCTCCAGTAGCCTCAAAAACAAACAGCTGTTTCCTCCAGGTAGGTTCGATGCAGATCGGACCAGCAGGCGTACGCAAGTCTGTCGTATTTACAGTCAAAATACAGCATCACTCTACAATCTTCTTATAAAACAGTAGGTAAGGAGTTGATGTAGATGACGACGTCGGAGAAAGAGAATTCAGAAAGTCCTTTTCTTCTGTAACCTTCACTTCCGAGTCGTCGAAAAGCAGCCACTTCCCTTGGTACTCTTTCAGGCTCTGCAGCACGCACAGAGCTTTGTTTTCGAGTCCACTGGAAGCGGCGCCGCTTTGCTCGCCGTGTTCCGCGCCGCACTCCGCGCTCCCGTGACTACTGCTAGCCTCGGGATTTCTGCTCTCGGTGACGACGCTGAGGAGCTTCTCGGGGTTAGCTGGTTTGGTGGCGTACAGGTCACAGTCAGGCTTGCTCTTCTGCCCCCCCAGAAGTCCGACAGCTTCCATGTTCTTTTTGTTCAGAACCTTGCCCGGCTGCGCGTTCCCGTTGACTCTGAAAGAGACTTCGCCGTCGTCGTAGTCTTCAGCAACGGTTCTGGCCTCCTCCTCGTTCAGGGGTTCTGGCTTAATCATTTCGTACATTTGGTCAGTGATGAAGTTTCCCTTGTCCAGCTCCAGGCTGTTAAGATCCGTGATTTTGACAGACGCCGTGTAGTGGCCACTGCTGATGGTGATGCCGCTGTGCATGACCACCGCAAACAATCCGTAGGTGTCGTTGGTCGGCTTCGTGCTCCACTCCTCCAGGGACAGTCGGAGAGGCGTCAGCAAGGGCGTGTTTATCTTGGAGAGCCCGCCGTAGCAGTCAAACCTTTAGAAGAAAGGGAAAGTTAAGACCTTGCCACAACAGCGCGCAGTAAGTACTGCTCGACGTGGCCCGTACAGCGGACCTGTGTTCTTTTCCCTCTCCTAGAGACGCGGGCAATCTGTGCTTGAGAAGCTGCTCACTTCTCAGCTCTGCTTATCGTGAGCATCTGTCCCAGGCACCCCTGCTCAGTAAAGGCATTTGTACGAGTAGGGGCAATGTTAAGTCTTGCACCCTAGTAGCTGTGTGTTTTAACATAAAGATTTTAACATAAAGAATTTAAGAGATTCCCTTTCTCTCAAGTACTGCCTACAGTTAATTTTCAAACAGTGACGATAAAAGGAGTTAGCCTAATTGTCCAGTTATCGTTCGTGCTTCTATGCACAGATACTTGCACTTCTTCCCAGATACCATCTAACAAAAAAAACCAAGAAACAAACATCCTTCACCATCCAAGGCTGAAGTAAGCAGGGCTCTCTGCATTTTCCCCCCCCAGCATTTGAAAGAGTCATTTACTAAACAAAGAAGTACAAATCTGTTTTACTTTTAAGTAGCTTTAATGTTGCTCAGAAAATCGGAGCGAGGAATTTTTCTCAGACCACCTCAGTGCACCGCAGCATGCTGCCAACGGTAACGCAGCGGTTACCTAAGGATGAGTAAGTTACTAACACTTTCTTATTACTAGGGAGTCTTCATTAACTGTCCCATGCTATTCAGGGTTTTTAAGCAATTATCTAGCTGATTTACTTTGGAAAAGCATGTAGTATTCCATAAATATTTAGAAATTTGTTCATAGTGCACAAATTTACTATAAGAAAAGTTAAAAGTTTTCAGTCTTTTGATTGCAATAGGGATCTTCTAAAGAGCTTGAAAAGACACCAAGTGTTGGGACTTTTACAATGTTGTGTAGTTGCCTCCGTGAATGATTCTCATCTTACATGATTTACATATTGCATCAGCCCAATTTAATTAACCCCTTTATTTAAAGACATGCTATGATGTCCTCATAGATCTCAGTGGTGATTCAGTCTGGCAGTTGTAGTTGCTCTTTGTATACAGAGGAAAGTGGTGAAACCCATAATAATTAATACCCAGTGTGCTGCTTTACTAATAGTACCCTAGTGTTCAGCTGGCATTTTATCCTAAGAAAGAGTAACTACTTAATCCAGGGAACCTGTAGACACGGCCTTAACAGTATACCTGCAGTAACGGAACACGACTTTCATTTTCCTGGGTTCAGTTCTGATTCTGCTGTGCTTCCAAACGTTTTGCTGATGTTCACAGCCATAAACCCTTACAAACGTAAACACATTTTCACATACACAGATGTCCTCACTCACTCAATTCACTGGACTCTTACTTTAGACCTAGGCTTACTATAAACATTTGACTACACCAAAGAAACACAAAAGAGCATATAAATCAGAAATAATTCTTCTGAAAATCCCTATTATTAGTAGCCAGAAATAGAGACATTCAGAAGAGTCAAGAAACAGAGAAACTGCTCACCGACACTGGATCAGGAATCCAGTTCCACTCAAGCCCACTATGACAATCGTATTAACATAAAACACTGAAAAATCAGGCTCTACCTTTCTTCTGCATGAGATCCAGCACCAGAAAGATTTGGAGAGGAGGAAATAAGAGAGGAAATCTTTTCCTACTAGCTTTTTGTTCTTCTTGGCTTCCTTACAGAAACATGAAATGGTAAGAATGTGAAGACAGAAAAACTGCCCGATGCGCAGTAGCTCAGCCACGACAAACGTCATTTCTGCAGCTGCATCTCTTGAAGCCGTAAATTGGTGGAACTTCACCCCCTGTACTCAACTGACACCTCAAGTTATTACAGACCCTTAAAGGCTATTTTACTGCAACGCTTTTAGCACATAAGGATGTTCTGTAAAACGTAAACTCCAAGTAAAGATTTCTAATTGCATAAGCGCTGCTTTCACTAATTAGCAAATGTGACTGTAACAAAACCTGAAGTAAGCCTTTTTAAAAAAGTTTATTTTTTAAATCACCTGCTCTTACCTGATACCATTTCACAAGACAAAAATCTGATTTTCTCACTGTTGAATTTGTATAGTGGAAATGCTTAATTAGGTGTTACAGATGTCTTCATAGCTTCCCAGTCTGAGCACACGTGGCCTAGCATTTTCCCCCCCCCCCCCTACACTTGCCAAATTGCTCATCCCCAGGGAGTAGATTTCCACACCGGCTGCTTTATTTAAAAACACCAAACACTTTGCAAGCCAGCATCCAGAAAAGATGAAGCAAATCCCTACTCACTGCAAATATTTACATTACTGTTCCCCTCTGCTTCATTTCTCTTATTTAAAACTCAGTAGAGCACAACTGAGAAACACAAGATTTCAAAATTTTTATGGGAGCTAAGAGAAGGCGTATGAACATTCTTAGTTTAAAAATCTTAGTTTGAGGCTGGCAAAACAGTCTGTTACTACTTTTAGGGCAAACCATTGCCGTCGCCTCTATGAGAGTAGTAGTTTTACAATAAATATTACAAGTTTACATAAATCAGCTGGGGGAAGCTCCATCGAAGCTGATTGTTCAGAAACCACCGTAAGAGGGACTCTGGGTCCTACGGAGTCAGCCCGTGCTCTGGTTCACCAGCCTCGGCTCTTCCCCACTCCGTCTGCAGCTGTGCTTTGTTACTCCAAACCAAGATGCTGTTTAGAGACGACAGGGTTCTGTCCAAGAGGAAACGTCCAAGCCAAAAACTGGGAAACAATCTTCTAAGCAGTTTCAGCTTCCTCACCGACTCCACTTCTACAGCTGATTTTCCCACTCTCACTTCCTAAACCTCTGGCTGCTCGCACTCGGCAGAACCCGTACGACGCGACTCGGAGGACACGCGAGGGACACCACAGGAGACTGGATTCAGCCTGACCCCGGTGCCGAAGGACCGAAGATGGCCAGGACAGAGAAGAGGGACGCGATTCAGGAGACAGCTGGTTAACCTGCAAGTACTTCCTCGCAGAAACGAAAAGGTAGCAAACGTAGGAGCAAACTGCAGACAACATTCGGGCTTCCTTTCAGGTGGACATCTCGGGCTGTATTTTTTTGAGGAGCCTGTAACCCTGCCTGGATACCATCTCACATCAAGGGCTACTCGACAACAGCATTACAGTTTTTAAGAAGCGTACAACTTTTTCTCTGCCTTGTTGTGACAGTCAAGTAGAGCAATGAAAAGACAATTTTGTACGTTACGATCCTAGACTTGTATGAAGAGATGTTAGCAGGCAATACAGAGATGGAGGAAGTTTCCTTTCTACTTTGTTAGAAACCCAGATACTCCTAAAAAACAAATACTAAAAACGGGCAGAGTGAGAATTCTAGTTTTAACACTCTTGGCAAGCTACCTGCAAAACTATCCTAATATAATTTTTGACAACAGTTATTTTACAAATCTTATTTATATTGACCAGTTGTCAGCACCTGCTTATAGAGCGTCCTCTGACAAATACTCTGTCAACTTACATTTTGTATCCGTGTACTGCCAAAGGTCCCCTACACCTCAAGTTCTACAATATACTGGTGGCACAGAATCACAGAATCACAGAATAGTAGGGGTTGGAAGGGACCTCTGTGGGTCATCTAGTCCA